CCCCTGCTGGGCCATCACTGCTATATTTACCTGTATAGGGGTGGATGATTGCAGCTTCTGCTGGCTGCAGATCACCACTCCTGGCCAATGGGAGCTGTGGGAAGTGTCAGGGCTGGGGAAGCCACTTCCTGCTCCTCTCATTGGCTGGGAATTGTGATGAGGATCTAATGAAACCCCATGAAGAAATAAATCATTCTGTCTTAAGAGCAGGGTTTGAATTTTCAATAGATAAGACAAGGGGCCACACACAATATAGTGAATAACTGCTCATTAATTGACTAACATTCATTCTGTACACTGAATAAGACAGGTGTCCCATGGAAACAAAAGCAATGTAAACAAGTAATTAAAGACCATGTCATAATGCAGATGCAGGAGGAAATCAGGTTAAGGTTTCACAGGCAACTTTAATTTTAGCATTACATTGAGTTCTTGACTTTGTTACCTTTATTTCTTTTAACATTTTTGTGGTAATATATGTTGGTGTGTCTACACAGCACAGTTATTTCGAAATAACAATACGAATGTCTACACCACAATTCCACTATTTTTAAATTTAAAATTATGGACGGCTTTATTTTGAAATTTGTAAAACTCATTACATGAGGAATAACGCTTATTCTGAAATAGCTATTTTGGAATAGCTGTAGTTTGGACACTTCACTGCTGCTATTTCAAAATAGCTCCTCCCAGGGCCATTCAGAGAAATTACTCCTGAGTGCTTTCTGGGGCTCTAAATCGAGGTAGTGTGTCCACATTAGGAGAGCCTGCCTCAGACTAATTTTGAGGCTTTCCTGTAGTGTAGACGTGCTATTTCGAAATAAGCTATTTTGGAGAATTTATTCCAGAATAGTTTATTTCAAAACTGCAGTATAGATGTATTCTATATATATTTAAATAATGAGACAACCATTAATAGCATCCAAACAACAAACTACTATTTTATTTAGTAGAGAAATTTACCAAGTATCTATCAGGTTTTTTTTAGTGTATCTTATTTTTAATAAAAAAGTGAAATATAGAAACCTCTTAGGGTATGTCTACACTACCCCGCTAGTTCAAACTAGCGGTGTAATGTAGGCATACCGCACTTGCAAATGAAGCCCGGGATTTGAATTTCCCGGGCTTCATTTGCATAAGCGGGGCGCCACCATTTTTAATCCCTGCTCATTCGAACCCTGTGCCGCGCGGCTACACGCGGCACGAACTAGGTAGTTCGAACTAGGCTTCCTAGTTCGAACTACCGTTACTCCTCATTCCACCTCCTCATTCCACGAGGAGTAACGGTAGTTCGAACTAGGAAGCCTAGTTCGAACTACCTAGTTCGTGCCGCGTGTACCGGGTTCGAACGAGCGGGGAGTTAAAAATGGCGGAGCCCCATTTATGCAAATGAAGCCCGGGAAATTCAAATCCTGGGCTTCATTTGCAAGTGCGGTATGCCTACATTACCCACCTAGTTCGAACTAGGAGGGTAGTGTAGACATACCCCAAGTTATTTGGTTATATTTCACACTTAATGTACTATTAAGCTCCTTTCATGTTTCTTCCCTTAGGACATGTTGAAAAAAATTCCTTGGGTACATTCAATTACATGTTCTGAAGGAAAAAGTATAATTCTATAGTTGACTAGCATCAGGTTATTAAGGTTATTATAGGCTAAATGCATGTGATTACCATCATAAAATAGGATTTTTATTCTTTTTTTACTTCCAAAGATATAGATTAAATATAATTAAATCTCATTACTGAACCTTT